GAGAATAAATATCTTAAAGTGTTAGTAACCTTCATAGACTCGTCGTTGTGGTCAGCACTATCAGCCTGTCCACTGCTTGTGCCACGCTTCCTTACCAAATGCTATTCCCTTTCCAGGGCCGGCCCCTCCCCTGCAGAATCCTCCCATGGGGGACTATATTTTTAGTTTTTGGGGAACTAGGACTAGGGAGCCCCTAATTCTCAAGTCCTTGGGAGGTCAAAGAAGATTGACATCTTGAGCCTGTGATGGATATTGAACCAAGGTTTTCACTTTCTCTCCCGCAACTATTGACTCCTGGAAAATTATGGTTACCTTCCTCATATTCTTTCAAGAGAATACTTTACAAAAGCCTAAATATTGCAGTTTTACATCTTTTAAAATTACAGTCACACAAGAAAAGTTGTGCTCTCGAATGGTGTGGAAAACTAACACCCTCCCACCACACTGAGGGCCTCAAGTGCTGCTCTCACCAACCAGACCTGCAGCAAATGCCAACCCCTGCCCCACAGACGGGTGGCTCCACGGGGCTCCTTCCTTGTGTGGGGTGGATTGTTCTGTCACTTCCTGTCTTTCATCTGATGTGGGGAGGAGACTCAGTGCCCCACAGCACCCTCCCTTCCTTGGATCAGTGATTCACTTAGTTCAGGGATGAATTAGAGCCAAGTCAGTTAATCTGCAGATCAGGAAGAACCTAAGAATTATCCTGTCTTCTCTGCATAGCCTGTCTCACCTCACCCTGGCTCCAGCTCTGTCTGGGTCCCAGGGATATAGCTGTAATGCCTGCACCTGCCTTTGCCTGGCTGTGTCACCAGCCAGTCATCAGCACACTTAGTGTGTCCATACTGTGTGTGTTCGTGCTAGATTCACGATACGCACTTAATTTATTAGACTGAGTACACTAGAGAGTTTTACCATAGACATCTCTGAACTTCTAAATTTGCATATTATTAGTTATTTAGACAGTTTACATAAAACCTATGTATTGTTTAGGCATTCGTGTTACTAAATGAATTTAAAAATTTTTTTTTTTTTTTTTTGTCTTTTTTCCGTGTCCGGCAACGGATCGCAACCCTCAGTGTTGCCCCCGTACCGGACCGGGACCGGCAACGGGATCGCAACCCTCGGTGTTGCCCCCGCGCCTCGCTCAGCCAGTGAGCGGGAACCGGTCTGTATGTGGGATCCGAACCCTCGGCGGGAGCGCTGCCGCACTTCTCAAGCGGCGCACTAGCGCAGTGCGCCACCGGGCCAGCCCAAATTTTAAAATTTTTAACATTTTCTTAAGTCATTTTTTATTATTTGTAATAATGGCAACTTATAAAAAGTATATATGCACAGAATCTTCCGGTTCCCTACCCTTACTCTTTTTTTTTTTTAATTTTATTTTATTTTGTCAATATACAATGTGGTTGATTATTGTGGCCAATTACCGAAACCTCCCTCCCTCCTCCCTCCTCCATCTCCCCCCTCCCTCCCAACAACCTCATATCTGTTCACTTGTTGTATCAACTTCAAGGAATTTTAATTGTTGTGTCGTTCCCCCCCCAAGTTTATTTGTGTATGTATGTATGTATTTATTTTTAGCTCCCACAAATAAGTGAGAACGTGATATTTCTCTTTCTGTGCCTGACTCGTTTCACTTAATATAATTCTCTCTAGGTCCATCCATGTTTTCGCAAATGTCAGTATTTCATTCCTTTTTAT